CACACATACACTCTCCACATGTGGTGTTTATTTCCCATACAGAAATCTTTCCAGACTTCCAAAACTGTTTTTTCCTTCATGTTTTTTTTTTCTTCTTTCCCCTTTCCTTGCAGCCTTTAAGGAAATCCAGCTGAGACACGGAGCATCCTACCACTGTGAGCAGGACCAGCACCGCACTCTCACCAGCATGAGCAGTGGGACAGACATGTCAGGGGCATTGCTGGAAGCTGAGTCTTGAGACTAGGAACTTTTAGGGCTGCTGTGACTCTCCCTGTGCAGAGTGTGATATAGGGACAGAGCAAAGGAAGGAGCAGAGCAGATCCGAGTGTGCTGGCTGGCAGGGAGGAGAGGCTGCAGACCAGGAGAGCTTTTGCAGCCAGCGGACAATTGTCTTTCCTTGGATGCTGCTTCGAACCTACCTCAGGACAACCGTGTCTGGAATGCTTTGCCTTCAACAGCTTTACTTGCTACATGTCTGTAAATTTGCTCACTTCCATCACTGCACTGCACATTTGTCAGCATCTTGGCTGATAGACACTGGGTTCTTCTGTAGGAAAGATGCTTTTACAGGGCAGGTGTATGTAAGCAAGATACATATATCAGGGAAAGATCATGACAGCTGCACAGGGCAGTAAAGACCCATCGCTTTGATAAGTCAGAACAGTGCCAGACACAAGGAGCCTTCCTGGCTGGCTCATCTGTGCCTGTGTTGAGCCCACTCTAGTCGTGGGGGCTTCAAGTAGCAAGCAGAGTGCTGCTTTCAGCCAAACCATGTCTGTTCAAATGGTAAGTCTGGCTGGGACCTGCAAAGCCAAGGCAAGGTTGGCCCCACAGCTTTGCAGACCAGGCTAGCTGGCGGTGAGTAGGTACTAAACCTGTGACCTCTGGATCAGCACTGACCCAAATTAACACAAGCTACTTCCAAGAGCATTTGTGGTTGGCATGAGCAAATTTAGACATTTTCTAGCCTCCTCTCAATTGACCCAGTGAAGAAGAAAAGAGCCCCTGAGCATCACAAGTCTACCATTTGATTTCCCCACCAAGCCTGCTCAGCATCTTGCAGGATTGGCCCTCCTGCATCCTGCCTTTTAATTGCTGGCTGATTGTAATATAGGATTTTATTTTCCCTATAATGACTCTTGGGGCCCCCAGATGTTCTGCTCAAGTGTGGTTGCGTCAGCACTAGAGACTGAATGACTGATACCAGCAATTTTTACAGCTTGAAAGAGGAGAAATATGTGAAGGGGATTTAATTTAGCTCCAATATTGTGTCTTCATCTTCAAGACTCTACAAGAAAAAGACACCAAAGGTTATTTTACAACAAGAGGAGGGAGAATTAGCCTGAGAGAGGGACAGATCACCAAGCTGGCTTTCTAATATCAGTTCATTACAGAGGACACATTTGCACAGGCACTTTGCTGCTGCTGTTAATTTAAGCCTGGATGATTAAAAGCTGTAATTGTGCCATTTTAAATAAATGTCCGCTATCTGGATTATTATATTTTTAATTAGTGTGGCTCTGTCAGATGTTTTTATCCCTCTGATTGATTTGTTTATACTCTATTTATTTATAATTCATTGATCTCCCTGACCCTGCTACCTCCCGAGTGTGCAGTTTGGTCATGGTTCCAGCAAATGGAAGAGGGCTGAACCAGAAAAGAGCAAAAGGTACCAGGTCAGGTCTCCCTTATGAGCTCTTCGCAGCTGCTGTTCTTCACCTCCTGACCATGGTGCTCTTCTGCTCTTTGCACTTCCCCAAGGCTGTGGGGGAGGATGAACAGCCTGGAGGACTGACTGGCTATGAGGCAGAATGGAGGAAAACTGAATTGCTGTCCAGCAGACGTCAGGACATGGTGCTGGATGGAGCATCTCAGCACCCCAAGATTTCATCCTGTGTGTTAGGACCCATTCCTTAACCATTGCTTCACAGGCAGGAACCTGCTCCTCTCTCTCTGGGGTACTCTAAACATGTAATATTTCCCTGGTAGAAGACATGGTTCCTGGGAAGGCTGTGTTACATGTGCTGGAAATAGCTCTTCCAGGGCACAGGCCTCCACTGTCCAGAGCTGAGTGCAAAATTCTGCTCTCTTTCTTAACATGTGCCCTTTGTATAAAATCCAGAATAAGAACCTAGCTCCATGCTGGACCATGAGACCCCATTGCATGCTATTTGCTGTCAGGGGCAAGCAAGAATAACTTGCAGATCATTGTCTCGGTGTTCAGGGCACTCCTGACTGCTGCTAAGGGGCACATGTGAGAACATGCTGAGAATATTCAAGAGGCTGCTTGCTCCCAAATAACTCCAGGACTCTGCTGATGCACTTATTCCGTATCACATGTGATGTATGCAGGACAGGGACTGTCACTTGTTCTGACTTTGTGGTGCACCCACTATGGGAGGTTTCTAACTTCTGAAAAGGGCCCTGAGGCACACTGATAATGTGATGCATCATTAATAATCTGCCTGCCTGGCAAATACTGCAAGGCTTCCAAACACTTGACTTTCCCTCATTTTCTACAGCCTTTGGAGTTCCTGAGCAAATGGTTCAGGGCTTCAGCGTTATAGAAGAGGAGTCTGCCTGTATCCCCTGAATATAACATGATCTGTGGCCTCATCATATCAGTGCTGTCTGCTGGTTAACAGCTTTTCCTCTAACAGTGTGACAGATGCAGCACTGCAGTTGCAGTATGGGTCAGGAGGACAGCCTGGTGATAGCACACTGCCAGAGAGGCTTTTGCAAGGGGAACACTATTACTTGGCAAGATTCAGCGTGGACCAAGTGACAGGGCAGTAGATGTACTGATGGAATGATGTTTGCACATCTCTACAGAGCATTTCCAGAACATGATGGAGTGAAAGCTGTAAAAGCAGCTGCTTGAGGGGCACCGGCTACCAGCAAAAAGAGAGCACAGCATTGAAAGAAACCTCTTGAAACAGCATGTCCAGTCGCCTGACCTCACAGCTCAATATGATATCAATTTACTTTTGGAAAGCCACATGAAGAGCAGCCACTTGTGTTGCATGTAAGCTACACAGCCCCAGTCCAGCCTCAAAGCTTATATGCTTTAGCACAAAAAGAGAAGGTGTCCAAGGACAGAACAGGAAGGAATCAAAGAATAGAACTGCAGGGGGCAACGGTCACATTCTCTTGGCGAATCCACCAGCTACCCAGCCAGAAGAGAAGGCGGAAAGTAGATATGGACATACCAGAGCCTGATTTCATTGGTACTGGAGGAGCCCCTGGGCAGGTACAGCACTGGATGAATGGATGGCCATTACTCTGTATCAGCATTAGAGAGAGTTTTCAGCAAACAAGTTATTCTGGCCATTCAGAAAGGGTAATTACACTTTGAGATCTCTGGGGTACTTTTTCTTGTTGGCTGGTAATCAGACTGTGTATTTCTTTTTTCATATTTTAATTAAAAATATTGTTTTGCTATGTTCACCAGGCAGCAACCTTGCTCTGCCCGAGTACAAATGCTTAATAGCATTTTGTAATTGACTGAACTGTCTGCTAATAAATAAGACTTGTAATTTAGTGAGCATCCTTGAAGTGCTTACTGTTATATCTGGCACAAAGCTGAGGACTCCTATCTTCAGGAACTCACAGGCAAGAGGGATATTAAAGACAAATTGTTTTACATAAGAAATGGGAAATGTGGGAAGGATGGGCTGGCATGAGGCAGTCATTCTGCAGTTGTCTACAGCACCTCTGCTCTCTTGAACTCTTTCAGTTTGACAAGAGGAAGTGGGTTTGAAAGCCTATGTCTTAATTGATTTTACTTAATAAAAACCTCACAGAAACTTGTACATATTGCTTTCCTCAATGAATTTCGTATTGCAAACTTTGCCTTTGGTAGGCTTATTGTGCAACTGGTAGTAAGGCAGAGATGCTGTTTGAAAGCTCCAATCTCTTCAGGCAGCTGCCAGCTTGGAACCAGGGCACTCTTAGTCTGATACTTTAATAATCATGAACGTTTTGACAGCTAGAAAATCCCATGTCAGAAGAGCCCCTGCAGATGTTGTCCTGTCAGGGTCAGTACCCTGACTGGTTCACTGCCCTGTGCCCTGGCCAGATTTGCATGCTCCTGGCTCAACTTTGCCCCAAGGCATCAGTCTCACACGCCTTATTTTTTTAAAGGCTAAAATGTTGTGCTGTGACATGGAAACACAAGGGCTTTGGACTGTGGAAACACGTAAACCCTATACCTGTTCTCTGCAGCGCAGAGGGAACCTGGGAGACCCTATTCCCTTTGCCTAAGTTACATATCTCCTGGTCTTAAGACCTGTTTCCTCTCTGGCTTTAGGAAGAGCAGCAATTTGCTCTTCTTTCTATTTACCTGCACCCCTTGGGGAAGGGATCAGTCTTTGCTTACTCACTCAAGGAGCCCAGTCTGAGCTGGAATGACATCTCCCTAGGTACACACATGCTTTTAATGCTCACCAGCTGACTGCCTGTGCCCCAGCACTACCTGCCCTACTCTTAGCTCTTCTGAACAACAGCAACAGAGACATCAACCAGAAACTGAGACTGTTTGTTTGGGGCTGCAGACCCAGGGTGCCAGCTCACAGTTAACTCACCCAGTATTCATGCTGGAGTTTTTTCTTTATTGGTTTGTGGTTCTTGTCATCCAATCATTGATGTATGTGTGGAGGAAGGCTGGCTAGTTCTGAGGTCCTTGTGCTATTTCTGCTGGTGGTTTCTCATGCTCCCATGGACACCACTGGTGCGCGGTCCAGAAAAGGAGGAAGAAGCATGGTACTGGCATCCTTCCAGGAAAGCTAACTGGCAGGGAGCCTGACATGGGCTGTCTTGCTCTCAAGGCTGTGTTGCTACTGCAGGTGAATGGCAAGTTTTCCAGGTGGTAGGAATGGCATCACCTCCTTCCCCTTTGTGGTCCCTCCTTGTATCCCTGTTGATCTAAGGGGAGATGCTTCCACCTCAGGGGACATCCCCAAGGGAGGAGGAGGAGGAAGAGGAAGGTGCTCTCTGGTGCCTTATTCTGTCTGGATGTTGGCCAGGCCTTGCTTCACATAGCTCTGCAAGAAGAGAGGGAGGTTTTCTAAGACTCCAGCTTTTCCTTGAGACATTTTTTCTTACATTCATATAAGTCCTCTTGACCCTCCCTCAAACTCTCCTAGAAGCAAATTTTCTAGAAGATGCTCTCTCTGGAACATCACCTATTTTGTCCTTTGCAACCCTGTGAGCTGCCCTGGGGCTCTCCTTCCTTGCTCGTACAGCTGTTTTATTTGCCCCCTGCTTGATAACAGGACTGACTGTCTTTTGGAGGTAAGCTTCCACCTCTGAACCAGCTGAATCGCCAATCAGGGTGAGGTGGTCCAGGATCTTCACTCCTTTCAGCTTGCACAAGTGGTGCAGCAGAGTTTTCAGGGCCCACAGCGGGAGTTTGTTTGTGTGCTGCCTTAGTGTTTCATTTGGGAGCGCCTTCATCAGCATGTCGGCATCCAGCAGGATTTCATCCAGATTGATGGTGTTGATGGTGGCTGGGAGAAGCTGCGTGGTCTTCAACAGGCACTTGGCCAGCAGGTCAGAAAACTCACCTGGGGTGCCCTCAGCGGTCAGGCTGTCTTGAAGCAGCTTCAACAAGGCACAGATAATTCTCGTCTGGTCAGATTTTTCCAGTACCCTTTTCATGAGGACATTAATAGACTGTATGAGCTTCTGATCTTTCTCTGGATGTCCATCCAGAAAATCTACCATTAAGGTAGAGAGACTGCTTATTACATCCTTAAGCACTTCCACTGAGGCCTCCTGAGCCAGCTTATTCTCTCGGAAGACACAGGTACAGGCCTGAATGACACAGTTACATTGCAGAATGATTTGTTCCTTACCCCATTTCTTGTCTACTTCCTGTTGCTGGTTGATAAACTTGAGTGATTGAAAGCTGGCTGCGAGGAACAAATTAATGTGCCCAGACATGGCTTCTACGTTGTTCTCTCTCAGGATCTCCTCAATTGCTTTCATTGCCTGGATGCTGGTGTCAGTGTCATCACTGCTAATGCGACAAATAAGGGAATTAATGGTGGAGGTGATGTTATGACATGTGTCATCAGTGTCTAAGGAGATAGGCAGGGTTTGGAATTCGGGGATTGTTTCTAACTGTATGATACCCTTCAGTCTAAAGAGACTGTATTTTCTGGAGACCAGCCTGCTCACTTGCTCACCTACCTGTGGAGGTAGTGTCTGGGGATGTACCATATTGAAATTTCCTCCTTGAGAAGTGTTGGGCTCTGTCTTTGAGGGTGCATCTCCTGCATGCTTACAGGTTACTTCAGATCTTGTGTTTGAATCGTGCTGAGGTTTCTCACTGAAATGCTTTGCTGAGGAAACTCTTGACCTGTAGGGTTCCTGTTTTGCAGTCTGTCCCAGCATCCTCATTTGTTCTTCAGGAAGATCCCCAATCATTTTGAACAGGGCTTCCCCATGAGTTCTGCAAGCTGTAACCATAATGTTTAGAGCAGCTCTATGAACAGCACTGTGCTGGTCTCCAAGGAAAGCAGCTATTCTCTTCAAGGCTTTGCTAGGACTTGGCTCACACACATCCAAGCCATAGGTTTCAAGGAGATAGCCCATCTCCACCAGGCAGCCTTCCTGTTGCTTAGTGTTACTGGATTTGATGCCTTCCACAAGGAAGCCAAACACCTTCTTAGGTGGATATATCAGGCACATTCTCTTCAGGATGGCATGCACCAATCTGAGAACAGTTTGCCTTGGCTCTCCCATCTTCAGGATCAGGTACGGCAGAAAGGAAATGGCCTCATTGTTCATCAGCTGGTACTTTTCTTGGATCAGCAAGGTTAGCAGCAGATTGAGGTAATCTAGACTCTTGATAAGGACCCATGTGTTGGTGTCAAAGAAACGCAGGGTGAGCCATTTCAAGATCAGATCCAGACAGCTGATAACTCCTTCCTTCTCTATCTCTAAATGCCTGGTCATGATGGCCAAGGCTTTGATGTGGTGAGGGAAGCTAGAGTGGAACAATTCCACCTGGAAGCTGCTGGACACACAGCCGCTCATCTGAGCTTTCAGCTGCTTAACATATCTGTTGCTGGGAGCTGTGAAGTTCCACTGCAGCACTTTGCTGTTTTTCTCATCTCTCATTCTCTGCTCTTTCCCCTTGGGGACAACGATGAAGATAGGTGCCAGTTTGCTGACCCCATCCTTCTTAGTGGAATTCATTTCTGCTTTTTCCTTGGCTAAACCTGTGTCTTTCAGGACTGTTTCTCCAGACTCCAGCTCCTTGGGACCTTGGTTCTCCTCTCTGCTGGTTTTGGGTGCTGCATTTTTAGCTGATGCGTGTGAAGACAAGGTTGTTGCTGCGGGTGGTGTGATTAGAACAGAGGAGAAAGTGGTAGTGGTGGTGACTCTAGGGCGTCTGGAAAGTGACTTAGCAGAAGCAGTGGACTTGGCTGACAGACTGTCATTGACATTCTCTAGTATCGCAAGGACATGGGCCTTTGCAGCTGCCTTCAGCCCACTGGTGGCTTCGGCCATCTTCTTAAAGCCAAGGTGCATTATGAAGAACGGCAGGGCTGCCTGTGAGGCTCTCTGCACATCCCTGTTGCTGTCCTGGAGGGAAGAGTAGATGTGAGGTACACACCAAAGCAGGTCCGAGGGAGCTGACTTGAGCATTGGCAGCTGTTCAGCCAGCCACTGCACTAGCTCTTGCTTCTGTAAAGGCAGTTCTTCACCTGGATCTTCGGAAATGTCCTGGCCATCAAGCCACTCCAAGATGTTCATCTGTGCAGCCCAAGCATTCACAGCAGCCAGGGCGGCAGCTCTCACGCTGCTCTTGCTTTCCCTAAACAGAGCAATGAGGGGAAAGCCCAAGTCCTTCATGTGCTGTTTGACATTTGAACCCATGGCTGTGGACAGTTGCTGGAGGACCCTTAGGGTCATCTGTACCAGGGTGGGGTTTGGGTCGCAGAGACAAGCCCTCAGGGCTCTTGGGAGCTCTCCTATGTTTGGCTGGATGAATCTGGCATCCTGAAGGATGCCTGCAACCTCTTCCAGGCCCTCCCTCTGGATGGTCCAGTTCTTCTTGAGCAGCTTTGACACCAATTCTGGTGTGATTCTGTCACTAATGTCTATGGATTTAGTCCTTCTGTGATTCCCTGGGTCCTCCTGGCCCCTGACATCTGGGCATAACTTGGGGTTGGCACGACTGGGAATTGGTGGGACCTGTCCATGCAGCTTCTTCAGCTCAGCATCTATCTGGGGAAGGAGGGGCAGCTCTTCACTCTCAATCAGTGTTCTCAAGGACTCTCCCATGTACAGGTAAATAACACCCAGCAAGGTGATGGCTGATCTCTGCACACCTGAGTGAACAACAGCAAGAGCGATCTTCAGGGTCTCAACCAGTGCCTTGGCCTGCATCCCTTCAAAGCCAAACTCCAGAATTGCTTTTGACAGCCAGTCCAAGATCTTGGAATGGATCCTGGAGTTATTCTGTGAGAAGGCCAATGACATAGCTGTCTTTGCAGTCCAAGGCAATGAACATGCCTCTGCTATAGCTGTTAGGGTTCCTTGAGCGTTGCTGCTGCATAGCACATCTCCCACCATTTCCACCACACTTTCCAAGGCAATTTGAGCAGATGTTCTAGAGAAGTTCGCTTTCTGGGCTAGCAAAGTGATGGTGTGAAGCTTCTTCTGCATCACCTGGAGCTTTGTTTCTTCGTGTCCTTGTAACAGCAGTCTCATCAGGGCTTGGCATGGTATCTCACTTTTTTTCATCTCCCTGACAGTCTTCTGAATGGTATCCATGCTGGAAATCCTCTCTTTCCAATTGTTGCTTTCCAAATGTTGTATGCAGGTTTCAGGGAGAAGAGCAGCTGCCTTTTCCCTAAACTCTTCTGCTGAGAGCTCCGGTTCAAACATGTTGCTTGAGCTCAATATTCCTGTTTGCTGCTGGCTTCTGTGCTTCCAGGGACAGTTGGGTTTCCTTCCAAGGACCCTAAACCAGGAGAAAGAGAGTATTACTGGGTATCTCTGCTGTCTCCATGCTGATGGAGATGTTAGGGCAGCAGCTTTGGGCTGCATGTAGCCATGGAGCAGCCCTGGAGAGCACCATCCATTGTGAGGTTGGTGCAACTCTAGCTGTGCTGAGGGGACAGGCCACAGGGAGCCACACTGGTGTGGTGGTGTCCCATTGCCACAAGCAGTTACTGCTCTTCCTACAGTGGAGTCTGAGACTCTAAAGTCCAAAAGTGCCACCACCATGGGCCATCTGGTCCCCATAGCCCTTCCTACCTCTGCCCCTGCTGTAGCTGTTTAAACTGTGAAGTTTCAGAAAAGCTGACTGAATAAGGACTTGTCTTGCAAACAATAAAAAATGCCAGGGGAAGAAGATTTGCATGGAAGCAATTTCTTACAGGTTGCTGTTAGAGCAAACCCCACTGCATTCAACCCTAGAGTAGTTCACTTACTTTCATGTTAATTAACTTTTTTCTAACCCACTAAAAATTGACACCTCGACATGAGAAATGAATAGCAGGCACTTAGTTTTGGGGAAAATTTTTGTCGGTGTAGACCCCTGTCTCCAGACCATCTTCTGTGGTGAGGTTGTAGCCAGAGATCAGATAGCCCCTGGCACACAGGACATCCATCCTAAGCCTCTGTTTTTAGATATAGACCATAAATAGGGCAATCTGTGCTCTTTGGCTCTCTCTGCTGGCGGCAGTGTACCCCATTCTGGGGCTTGTGCTCAGAAATGTCCCCCCACATTGTATCCTTTGGGGAACAGGCTGGCAGAGAGGAGCAGAGACGCAGGGAAAGAAATATTGTATTTAAACCTCTGGGAAGAATCACATACTCTGACAAGGACAACAAATAAAAAAGGGGAAAAAAGAGGCAGCAGCAAAGATTTACAACAGAGCCTTGCAAATGTGACAGCCAGTTTCCAGGGGCATCCTTTTTCTTCCTTAAACCTCAGTCCCAAGCAAAAGGAGAGATTTTTCTTGAAGGGAGAACACAGATCTGTGTAAAGGAGCAAACGCTCTACCTCAGGGCACAGCAGCACGGGCTGATTACAGCTCCAGGAGGGATTCACTGACTTTTGCTCTGTGCCCAAGGGATCTCCTAACGAGGGTTGAAGGATGAGCAAGGGAGGGACCAGGAGCATCTCTTGACTCACCTATTGGGAATGCTTTGCCAGGGCTGGAGGCCAGGAACGCGTCCTTTCTCCGCACCACAGAGCACTCCAGGCTGCTGGCTGCAAGAGCCAGCTGCATGGGAGGGGGAGGCAGGCAGTGGAAAGCATGAGGAGGGATGCTTTGGCACTGTGTGTGAGACCAAGTCCCTCTTTCTCTGGTCCAGCAGCCAACACAAGTGATGAACAGACTCTGGGTTTGAGTGCATCATTTTATACTTTCTCAGTAGGAAATACTGGGTACCTTCACTAAATTAGTTTTGTTAATTGAACGACCAGGTGGGTTTCTTTGTCAGATGACGCTGGAAATACTATTCTATGGCACAAACTGGTATTTGTACAATACATATGAGAAAAACAACAATTTTTGTGACCTTGTTAAATTTTTTCTTGTGTTCTACAAGCTGTTTATAGGGTAAATCTCCTAAGAGTGGGATTCAAAAAAATCATCTGAGGTACATAATAACCAGTCATTCTCGGAGGTGCAATTACATGTTGGCAAAAGATAACAAATAATTCCCTAATAAAACAAAGACAAAGGAGAAGGAACTACTGAATGTAAGTGAGTTTTATTGCATTATTCTGGTGAGAAGCTGTCAGAGTCAGAAGGTGTTCAGAGAGAGCAGAGAGTACAGTCTGTTCCTTTATCAAAATAACTTTTATTGCCTAGGTATAGCTTTTCTCACCCTGGTCTATAAACATCCTGCTGCTTTCCTTTCAGAGAATTAGGACTTGGTCGCAGCAGCAAGTGCTCTTTCTAAATGCTTGTTGCTGACCAATACAGGGGCTGCGGGTTGATCTGATGCTCCCCAGAGGTGCTGGGAGTTGGGCAGGATGGAAAGGAGGAAGATTCCTGTGGTGAGAACTGGTCCAGGAATGTGACATGCTCCTGGTGGCTCTGGATCAGTGATGGAGTGACGGTGTAATGCTTGCTAGGAGCCACGGAGGCAAAGTAGAGGCAAAGTAAAGGCAAAGGAACGGCAGAGCACCCTACAGGCTGTTCTGGGTGAAGGGTAGCTGTGTCCGTGGGTCCAGGGTCTTGGTCTTTTCTGTGGAGCCAAAAGGAGTTGACTGGTCCCAGAGCGGTCCTAGGCAATGAGATCTAGATCCCACATATATTTCCTCTGCACCACAGTTAGGATCACTTGAAGCTATCTGTCCCTAACAAGCCTTCTGGGCCAAGGAAGACTTGTCTTTTTTACTAATTTGGGCTGCATATAAATAAAATCCTGGTCTGCTTGCTGGAGCAAATGACCCCAGCCTGCGTCATTAATCAGAGAGTTTGCTTCTGGGGATGGCTGAGAAGCTTGTCACTGGCTTCCCATTGGGGAATATGTGTTTCCAGGTCTTATACAACCTTTGCTGGTTTTCATTAAAAACTTCTCTTCAGACAGCAGTTTCAAGCCCTGTTATGTGGCTTCTCATGGACATCTCGCTGTACTGCCTCAGATGAATCACTGGGTTGAAGGTACCAGCTGGGATGGGGTTTGTTCTGGGTCTGCCTGTGCAGACCCAGGTCTTGCACTGAGTGCAAGAGAGGAGATGAATCAGCCATGTGTGGATCATCATAGCCCCTAACCTCCCTCAGACCTCTGCTGAGGCTGCTCCTCTGTGGAGCCTCAGCTCTGGGCCGCAGAGAACGTCATTTGAAAACCTCTCACAAAACCTACTCTTCCTTCAGCAGCCTGTGGGACCTGAACACACCAATGCACTCATCCCAGGCTCAGCCTTGCCCAGCAAGAGTCTTCCCAGTCCAGGACTCTGTTTTGTGGCTGCATCACCAGGGATTAAATATAGTAATTTAATCTTTTTACTCCATAATTCCTACCTATCACAGAGAAATGAGAAATCTTTCTTTGTCTTTCTAGTCTTCTTAACTCAGCCAGGCAAGACTGTCTCTGGCATTGTGTTTGTATGGCTCCCAGCACCTGGATTGCTGGTGCTGCTGCAGTGCAATTACATGTGGTGATACTGTATTTAATACCCTAGGAATTGTCTCCCCAGACTCCATGAGCTCCTGAGTTGGTGGAAGGATCAGGTTTGTCTTTCTGCCTCTGAATTGAGGATATTCACACATATCTCCACCAGTTTATCTTCATTAAGCTTTGCAGAAGCTGCCGTGATGTGACGCCAGCTGTATTGCTGAAACAGGCTGGTATAGAGTGTGAATCACTTTGTCTTTAATTCCTGCTTGTGGTCGAGGATCATCTGCATCCCTAATTGTGATAAGTTTCACTCCAGCAATTGGCAGGATTAAACTCCCTTCAGAAGCACTGGCTGAGCACTGACCAGGAGGAAAAACCTCAGGCGAGTAGTGATCTATTTATATCCCACGAAAGACGGACTCAGTGCATAAGAATATGCAAGCTCCTGGCACCTCCAGCCCCAATTCTGTTCCTATAGCTGCCATCTTGAGGCTGTCTCAGCACTGAAGAATTAGTTACTTTATGAAAGCTAAGTGAAACCTCAGTCAAGACAGGTACAAGCAGACAGGGATGGGGATGTCTCTGCTTTAAAGAATCCCCTAAAATCTGTTCCCTGATGATGCACAGCAGCCAGGGAATCAGACATGAGCTAGGACTGTTGCTTTCTCCTCACAGACTCTTCCTCCACACTTTCAAACAGTGTCTGTTTTTAGGGCAGAGAAATGGTCTACATTACCTGTGTTTATCAAACATCTTTTTGGTGGATTCCCCCGCCCCGGCACTGCCAGCCCTGCCCCTCTCCCAAGGGTGAGTTAATCCTGCACCTTTCAGAGCTGCACCAGCCACAGAAACCCAGGGGTGAAAAAGGGTGTCCTGTGTGCTGGGGCTCTCCCACTGCCCCCCCAGAGTGCCTGGAGTGCCATTCATTACCCAGTCTACAAAGCACTCAGCTGTGGTAAAGAGGGCAGAGCTCTTATCCCCACCACACTGCATGTGGGGCAATGAGGAAAAGGACTGTGCATATCCCCAGGTAACACCACAAACCTATCCCTCTTACAAGGGATGAGGAGAGGAGACTTGCAGGAGCTGGGGAGATGCAGGATCATGTCGCAGCAAGGCTTGTCCAGAGGGTGCAGGATCCAGCTTCTTCAGCAGCAGACAGGCGGGGAGCAGACAGCCTTTCCCCCTGCTTCCAGCACAGGCAGTAGCCGTGGCTGTCCTGTTGCAGGGAGCAAGGGCAGCATCCAGTCCTGCCTCTGGGCTCAGAGGGGCAGATGCCAGCAGCTCCCTTCCCCTTGCTTGTTACCAGTCAGCTGTGGAGCAGCCCAGCTGAGCCCTGCTGTGTGTCAGCATGGCAGAGCTGGGATTTCATGTTGCCACTGCTATACCTTCCAATGACAAGGGATTCACCTGACCCCAGCTCGAATCTAACAAACCTCTACCCACAGGGAAAGGAGGCACAAACAAAGAACAAAGGCAGTGGCCCATTAGCCATCAAGAATGATGCCCCGTAGAGAGCTATGCTCAGCATAGACCAGAGGCAACTGAACACGCCCTCAGTTGGGGAATTCACCTCTACCAGGAGCATGCTCAGCCCTCTACTCATAAACATCTCTAAGATCCCCCATTTGTCACCTTTCCTTCACATATGATGGCTCCAAAATGTTTGTTACCTTTAATCCTGAATAATGAATTTCTCATCAAAGTAACACCTCTCCCAATGCAGGATGCATGCTGTACGGCGCCGACTCACCCACGACTGCTTGTCACAAACCAGCGTGGCCAGAAAGGAAACAGACTCTGCAAAAGCCTGAAGATTTCTCTTCATTGAGATAAACATGTCTTTTTCCAGTTGC